TGGTAGTCATAGGGTTAATCTAGTTAAATTTGGGAAAAATTCTTTCTCCACTTGTAACAAACAGTGATGATCAAATTTCAGCAGAATTATAAATGTATCTAAGTGTGATGATGCTAACCTGTTGTTTGTGAACATGTATTTCAATACAGTTTGCCACTTTAGCCATTCTCCTTAAGAGGGCTTTCCACCCATCATGTAGTTCTGTTGCACTCATGTCAGTAACCATATCATCATCACATGAACCAATTTGGACCTTCATGAATTCATTTTCAGCAATCCAGAAACATATTACCAAACCTGAATGAGGAGCTGTGTTCCTATAGTTCTTCAAACCTCCTCCACAGAGTTCATGGCTGTGGTGAAAACTTTCTTCAAGAAATTCACATTGAGGTTTTGCTACAGATCAAGAATAGGTTTGTCATAAGTTTCATATTAAAACTGTCTCCTTTGCTCATAAACAAACCTGCTCTTAGATGCATTTTTTGAAATATTTTTCTTAAGCTCCCTTTTGTCCATCAAATCTTTTGCATGATGCCAAAAGGTTCTGACTTGATTATAAATCCTTCTTGAAGACTTTTGTCCTTTCCTTTCATGTTAGCTCTGACATAAGATTCTTGGCCTCGTAGTCTTCCAGAAACAGTGTCATTTACTGAAGCTTATAGACGGAAAACATTGGTCATAACAGCACTGCTTCTCTTTTGGCCAAAAAATTCAGAGCAAAGTATTTGTTGATACTCATTTCTTTATCCAAAAACACCATGTAAGCTGTGAAAAACTGAATAGACATTTTAAACTGTTTTATGTGGCTTATGTTGAGAACCAGTACGTCACAACTGAGTACACTTGGTATTTTCTAACAGAAATCAACAAAATCTACATCTTATTGGACAGCAACTTAATCAGCTCATTCTGGAAGTCCTTTTTCAGACAGGTCTTCTTGCATGTTAATCCATCTAAGGTATTCTTGCACGTTATTTCATCCGAAACATTGTTTTATGACAGGGTCAAAGATTCCAAATATTCTTCAAACTTCATGATATTTCTGTTTTCAGGCGTGAAGAGATTCTTTTGACTACCACAAAGAGCAAAGTTTTGCATTTCATGATCTCTTATCAAACCAGAAAAATATTTCAAATACAGTTTGCTAGTACATTTTCTGTTTCTCTCTTGGTAAGATTATCCATATCAATTGAGTTAAATTTCAGTTGAGATTCTTATTCTTTCCACTCTTGAAATGTCACATGATGATCTGCTAACGTTTTATATCAATTTAAAAGTGCTGACAAATTTTTCCAGTCATTTGTTTCATTGGAAGACAAAAGTATTGTTTACTTAACTGCATCAACCTTACTTCTGTGAGAGTCAGTTTGTAAGTAATACAGGAAATTGTGTACATTATATTACAATTATTTTAGTCTTCCTGGGTTGTTACAGTCCATGTTATCACATCCATTTATGCTCCATCTTACAACTTTGCAGTGTAGTTTCCTATGCAAAAGGCTCGGTTGTAAGTTTGAAATGTCCAAAACATGCGACTCCTCCCTGTTGGCCTTCTTGTTCTGGATGGTCCTGATTATTTTCCAATTCTATTAAGTATAGGATGATTATAAAGAAAGTTTTGCAGTTCAGTGCATCATACCTCACTAACAGTACAGCATAGGAAGGTGAAAATATACAGTGGTGTTCAGGATATTATGCAGATGAAAGTCCCACAGTCATCATGTTGCCACCTGGGGTGGAACAGTGGTTTCTTTCCCATATTTCTCATGGGTATAAATTAACTTGTCAATCACAAGGCAGCACATTCAACCAACAAGAAACTGACTAGTGTGCAAAGATAGCTCAAGGAATAATGTAGAGTGCATAACATATTGGAGAGCCTTGTTCCAATGTTGCTGAGCAATTTCATAAAACATTTGAGCAAACAGGCTTATTTTGTGATAAGTCGCATAAAGGCAAACTACCGGTTTCATTTTCTGACAAGTCGCATAAAGGCAAACTACCGGTTTCATTTTCTGACAAGTCGCATAAAGGCAAACTACCGGTTTCATTTTCTGACAAGTCGCATAAAGGCAAACCACCGGTTTCATTTTCTGACAAGTCGCATAAAGGCAAACCACCGAGTTCACTTGTGATAAGTCACATAAAGTCAAACCACCGAGTTCACTTGTGATAAGTCACATAAAGTCAAACCACCGAGTTCACTTGTGATAAGTCACATAAAGTCAAACCACCGAGTTCACTTGTGATAAGTCACATAAAGTCAAACCACCAAGTTCACTTGTGATAAGTCACATAAAGTCAAACCACCGAGTTCACTTGTGATAAGTCACATAAAGGCAAACCACCGAGTTCACTTGTGACAAGTCACATAAAGGCAAATCACACAGTTCATTTTGTGATAAGTCACAAAGCAAACCCCCAACACATATTGAAACTATTCTTGTGGTTAGTCATGTCATGGCAGAACAAGCCAGCACAAGTGCAGTACATGTTATATTGCCCAGTATCTGGATTTACCAATTTCAATGGTTTATAAGGCTCTTCAGTCAACTTTGAATGTTTCGTTACAAGCTGCACTATATTTCAAGCACTAAAGTATACATATTTAACCTGATATGTGGTTTTTGCACTGCAGTTCTTGGCATGACTGGAAGTTGTTGACCAATAGCTTGATGAATGATGAAGCACACTTCACCTTTTCTGGAAATGTCAAGACATTATCTGGTTGAAAACTAACACACAAGTAACGTTTCTTACATACCTCCATAATGCTAAGATGACAGTGTGGTGTGGTTTCACATCAGACTCTTTTTGTTTACTGTTACCATTTTGAAGAACCATAAATACATGAACTACAAACACCCACAGTACCATGCAATTCTATCAACCAATGTGATTCCCATGCTGCAGCAATGAAATGTGTCTGAATGACATTTGTCATTCAGGATGGTGCCCCTCTGTAGAAGGAATTTCAGAACTATTTCACATCACTTTCCTTCTAAATGGCTATCTTATTTACTGGACCTAATGCCAGCTATTTCCTAGATGAGTACCTAAGTTATTAAAGTACCAAAGGAAGCCTTACATAATTCCAAACATCCAACTGTCCAGGAAATGGCTAACATACTAGATGAGATTTCTATTATTGCTGTAATTTCACTTCTTGTGGCAAAACTTTCTTTATAAACACTGTGTACAAGGGATATCTTGGAACTTTTAAATCCTCAATATGAACTACATCTTTATATTCTGTGTGTATGAATATTTTGCAATGGAAAGGGCTATTATGTACCCTTTCCAAAAGCAATCAATTTTCAAGGACATCACATTAAGCATGGAATGCCAAAAAATATTAAAATATATTTCTGATGCACATCATTCCATCATGCTTTACATCAGCTGTAATTGTCATGTGGCTTGCCAATTTGGTTATTCAAAATCATTTTAATATAAGCTACTCAGGCTTCAGCTTTACTATTGTGACATTCAGTTTGTAAAGAAAAGAAATATCAGCTTCAGCCTTAGTTCTGTGATAGTCAGTCTGTAAGTAATAGAAGTCCTAGCTACAGGATTAACTCTATTGTGTATAATATCTTTGACATTCAGTAACAATACTATGGTCCACTGCATCAGCCTAACCTTCATAATGTATGGGGTGCACTTACCTCCATAATGTCCAGTGAATACATATGGGTTTCTGCATGACTTACCTCCATAATAATGGCTGGAGACGGCTTAAATGGGTAATGAAGAAAAACTTTAATATAAGTTTAACATGACAGCAAATGTACAACGTTTCGACAAGGTTTTGTCATCATCACCTGATGATGACAAAAACCTTGTACATTTGCTGTCATGTTAAACTTATATTAAAG